AGCCGAAGTCGTTAAGGATAGCCTTCAGCACATCGGCGCCTAGTGCGCCTCTGTTGAGATCTGAGTTTTGTAGCAACTTCTTCACCTGCGATCTGCGAATCACCTTTTTCTTGTTATCAAACTCGATCTGTTGATTGGGCGTTTTACTCTGAAAGAAGGGAGAAGGCGGGGGATATTACAAAAGCAAGCGTACGGACTATGTAATACGATTACCTTCCGATTTCCAGACCCTGTCGTTGCTTGTTCTTTCGTTTCCATGTCAAAAGCTTGCTCTACGGCCGAGTCCTTTTCCTGCGCCTCGTCCATACTTTCGTCGTCGCTGTTGTCCTCATACTCATCATCGTCATCGTCGGGAATAGCCGCGTCCAGCTGCTGCAAGACACTCTGCTCTTGAAGCTTCTGTTCGCTGTCATGCTCGTCTATGGTTTTCTGGAGTCGGACCACCTGCAGGCGCAGGTCGTCCATCTCACGCTCCAGTTGTTCCTTCTGCTGCTCCAACCGCTCTTCCTCCTGTTTCTTAGCCTCCTGTTGCTGACGCAGCGACTCCTTCTTGTAATCCAGGTACTCCTGCTGAAGCTTCTCGAGCCGCGCATTGAAGTCCTGCAGCGTCTGCTTCGATGTACCGATCTGAGCACGCAGTAGTACGCACTCATTTTCAGAGGTCTCATTCGCCAACTGTGCCCTCGACAGTGCTTGCATAGCATCGCAGCGCTCTTGGTACACCTTGCGCAGAGCCTCTTTGGCAGTTAATTGATACGTTGTCTTGTCCTCCAGCATCTTTACAATCTGCCAGGGACAAAGGGACAGAGAGAGAGGAAGAAAGAGCGAGAGGTTTGTGAGTGTCAGAGCAGCAGAAGGACAAATGAATCCTTACCTCGTTACGCAGCGCATTTTCTGGGACATTTTTCTCCATCATCTGCAATTTCTTCTCCAGAAGGTTGATCTTGTGAATCAGCTGGTCCTCGGTAATCATGCTCTGCCAGCACATGGCCGAGTTCTTGCGCGTGGCGTCGAGCACCCCCTGCAAACTGTTCAATTTCGCCTTGAGGGTCTTCTCCCTCTGCGCGGCTTCCTGCAGAAATGAGTTGAGGCGCTGAATCTCGTCGAAACTAATTCTATTGGGTCCCAGCAGCTGCAGCTGATCCGAATCGATTGAGATGGCCTCCCTGCCATCGGGCATGAACAGTGTCACCCTGGCTATAATGCAGCCATGCACCTCCTGTCGCGAGTTCTCGATAACCTCCACACCAAATTTGACCGTGTCGCCGAAGTGAAGCTCGGCCGGATCATTGCCCAGTTTGTTGTCGTTGATGAAGGTGCCATTGCTGGACTTGGTATCTTTGACCCAGAAGCGGCCGTCCTGTGTGTACCAGAGCATCGCGTGATTGCGGGACAAGACCTTGCAGTCAAAGATCGCGTTTTCCTCGCTGGCCTTACTCTTGGCTATCAAACGGCCAACCTTGCACTCCTGGTTCGGCTGCAGCAGAATGGACCGCGTCTCAAACTTGTGCGACTTTGCCTCGCACTGCAGCACAATTTTGGCTTCGCCCTTAGCCGTGACTGATGCCGAAGCCGTCTCCGGGCTCATGTTTAGGTCAGTGGATGACAATGCCAATGCCAATCCCGGTGTCTGTGTTAGTGTCTGTGTCTGTGCTACCAACAGTGTCCCGTAGTCCGCCTCCCTTTGCTCTCTTTGCATGACCCCGTTGTTGTGTCCGCCCAATGACGTGAAGAGACTGCTGGCAGATAAAACACCCCCACCCACAGCCGTGTTGTTGGCGTTGAGAACCGAATTCAGTGTCATCTGTAGCACCTGGCTGGATGCAGGCAGTTGGGACGCCATGCGACGGTCTGGAGTGCTTGTACCCTGCAATGTGTTAGTGTTGGAGTCGGAGCCCTCCACATTATTGTTCTCCTGGTTCTCGTCCGACTCGTCTTCATTATTGCTGTCCGCCGTCTCCAGCTCGTGCTTCTCCCTCTCCATGGACTGAACAAGATCCTGCTCCGACTTCATTGTGTTTGTCGAGTCCATATTTAAGGAGCTTTGAGATTTCTTGCGTTTTACAGTCGACGCCTCTCCTCCTCCTCCGCCAACTGCTGCTCTCACCGACGCGAACGATCCCCTCGCGGCTGTTTCAGTCGATGCTCCTCCGTTGCTCACTGTTGGGGATCCGACTGCTCCCGATGCTGTCGTCGATGTTGCTGGATCTGTTTTCTGTTCGTCATCTTTATTGTTCAGCCATTCGTTGCTCACCAAGACCATTACTGCACATCCGGAGTTTGGTAGCCAGGTGATTGGGTTCGGTTCGGAAATTTTGAGTAAATGTGTAGTGTTTTTTGGAGAAACGAAAAAGTAAAATGTTAAAGGCACAACCTATTTAAGTTTAAGTTAATATATGTGTGGAAACGGGGCGAAACGACCAATACAGACTGAACTCTCACGGGCATCTTGGTTTGAGTTTAAAACACAGGGAAAAATCTCGATCGAAAGGGTTTAGAAAAATGGAGTGGAGAATAGAGATTTGTAAAAACCGCTCTCTCTACTCTATATATGTAAATACTATGTAAGGAACACACCCAATTTTTTCAGAACAGAATAGCTATTTCCTTATGGTGCGTACAAGAGTGAGTTCAGTGCAGGCGCAGAATAATGTTCCGTATTTAGTATAAAAATAGATTCTTCAAATTATAATTGAACAAACCGAATGCGAGTGCGAGCCGTTTCATGGGTGCGTGTGTGGTGGTGAGAACAGGGAGAACAGAACCGCCAAAAATGATCTTATAGTCGAGCGTGAAATGGGAAGGGGAAGTGCACCCCACCCGGGTGCTCCACTATTGAGCCGGGAGATTGCTTAATACGTGCGTGCGATAAAAAACGAAACGGTGGACAGTAGCAGTAGCAACCCTTCGTTCATTCCCCTTACCTTGGTTGTCCAGAGGCGGCAATAGTGGGGACCGACCCGACAAAGGGGGAAACAACAACAGCCACCACTGTTGTGGGCGTGCGGCGCTTGGCGACTGGCGACTGAGCTAGTTATGCGCGTTCGAACAATGCGAGCGCTGTGTTGCTGATTGGCATGGAGCACAGCATAACATAACAAATTTGATTGGGGCGATGGCTTCGTGTGGCTGTTGCTGTTGCACTGCACAACTACATGCGAATGTTCCTGCAGCTGCAGCTGCAGTCGGTGGCTGGCTGGTTCACAAGTTCACAGTGGAGAACGATGGGTGGCGGGCGCAGAGGTGTGTGGACGGGCTGGAGTCGCGCGACTCGCCTTTTTGCAATAAAACTGAGACACATGAACTTTCTGTTTTACTTTCGCCCAATTGAATTTAATTACACAGACATAGGGCTGCGCCGCTGACGATTGAGAATTTACCGTTTTCTGCATTTGTGGAAAAAAGGAACGAGGAATGTTTTTTTGGCACACACAATTTTTCAATGGGTAATCTGTTGTCGACAATTTCATCATCGATGCGCCCTTTCACTCACCTTGGGGATTTAATAACTTTCTTCTCTTTTTTAGGGTCTATAACTTGATTTATCTTTTTTTATTTTCGTTTGGCTTCGATTTTAATTGTTTTCAGTTCTCCAACTCTTCACAATAGGTAGTCGTATTAGGCACGACACGACACGACATTCTATTGTGACTTGCCACAATAGCAAGGTATGGTAGTCACATATTAAATCAAGTTTTCTTTAAATATAAGTAACTTGTAATAATTATCTAAATATTCATTAAAATAATATACTTACGTCGTTACAGCTACGTGCTGCGTCGTGTATAGACCGCCTAACCTATTGGCTACCAGATCAGCGATTTATGGCGCAAATGACAGTCACACTTTATACGATAAGTGTGACCGTATAAAAATATCACCTGAAATCGATGAAAAGTTTTCTCTCAGCTGATTTTAGCCCGATTGACTAATTAAAAATTCTTGAATCGGACTTTTTACAATCCTTCTCTACTCACTCTCGCTTCTTTGCTTACTCACTGACACATGCATTTAGAGCACATCATGCATCGAAATGAAAAATAAATGAGAGCCGGTGCCGGAGAGGCGCATAAACTGGACGATCCAGGAGACCCAGTACATCCTCCGAGCCTTACTCAATGGCTGCTATGTCTAAGAGATCGGGACTCGGGTCTGATTGCCGACAGGCTAGACAGTAACATCTACTGGTTTCCCTGCACCAGGACTACGTGGACTGGAGCGACTGAAACAACGGTGACATTGAGGGGGTGCACATGACAGCACAACGTACATCACCTGTCTGCTGTTGTTGAAGGACAAACGACAGGTAGCTTGGCAGACGGGGCATGACCTGAGCCTGCCCCACCCACTGCCAGCTGGCCAAGGACGGGGTCTCCTGTATCCCACCAATGAACAACTTCATCTTCAGCCAAGAGTAACAGCTACGGCCGACTGTTGCCGAATACGACCGACAGTCCGAATGTGCCGTGGCCGGGGCCATCGATGCCGGGGATGAATGCCATGAAGCGTCTGCTCTTCTGAACAGATATCGGTAGCAATTTAATCCCTGAGAGAGACTATTCCGGCATTCCTCCATGTCCACACATGCAGGAGTTGACTCTGCAGAGGATCTCAGCCTCCGCACAAGTTACTGTTACACTTAAAAAATTACGTTTTCTTAAATAATACAAATATCTACAATTTTTAGCAATTCAGTGCTTACCCGTTTTTTTCTTTTCTACTTCATTCTAAACAAACGTATACAGTGCCACATACATATTTCGTTTCGAGCGAGCGCACGAAAAAAAGGAACAAAGTAGAAAACGAATAAAACGTCCTTTTTAAGAATTTTTAAATTTGTCTATCGGGCTAAATAAGATAAACGACGCCTCGCGTCGTTTTCTAGATTTCGTAATTGTTAGGTATTCATTTCCTACATTTCGTTTTACCTGAAACATATGTACATTCCATCCTAGAGTATCACAGGCGCGATCTATACCAAATAGAAACTGCATTTTTTGTTTGCAAAAACTAATTTAATTGAAAACTTTTAAATTTGTCAAAATTGTAAAATCCAGCACGCACTTGTCGTCCCCCGAAGAAACGCCCATTAAGATCTACAACAGCTGGAAGGTTAAACGTAGACGCATTAGCTAAAATGTGAAAACAAAATAGACGATACACACACGATAGACGATAGTTACCTTTAATGGCACTTTCAATGCGCTTAAACTCCACAAAGATTTTAACGGCATCTTCTGGCGAAGTTCCGAACGCTTCATGAATGATGACACTATTCACTTCCCCATACTTGGTGTTACACTCGTCCTTCACTTCTGGCTCCAGTTCCTCATCTACATCGCCAGGACCAACCATGTTTCGTAGCAAAACCACTTTACTAGGATCTTTCATTATTTCTGTAATGCTGGGGACAGGCTCAGTGGCAGCAGGTGCAGTCACTGCCATTGGAAGCTGCGGTGGTGGCATAGCCAAATGGCCCGGGCTTGACGCTGAGGGAGGCGACGTGGATGGTGGCGTCACAAACACATCCTTTTCGTGAATGATGCGTCCACCACGCTTCGAGGTCTTCTCCACTTGCAAGGCCATGGACATTCCCTGCTCTGATTTTCCCAGTCCCTGTCCATCTTTAAAACCATATTTCGCCATTATCTTGGCAGCCACCGAACTTGCTGAGTAGGGTATTGTTACGTTGGAGGAACCATCTCCATTGTCGATGGATATCTCTTGCAGTGACGGCGGGGGAGCGATTGCGGCGCCCCCTCCTTGTTTTGCTACAGATCCCGGGGGTGGGGGACTGTACTTGTCCTCATCGCTTTGTCTCTGACCAAATCCGCTGAACTTCATTGACGGCGGTGAACGTGAGGCGTCATCTCTGTGGTTTTCTCGGCGTCCACTGCGACCACGTTTTCGATCTCTATCCCTATCGCGATCACGGTCTTCGCGGCCGCATCCTCCAGCGCCGCCAGCACCACTGTTTCGTGACTTTTCACTGTTCTTCGTTTTTTCTTTTAGTTTCTCATACTCGTTGGGCCACTGCGGATCGTACTCATCCACAAAATCCCAGTCATCTTTCTTTATGCATTCAAGTACCGGAGGTGGCAAAGCGGTGCCGGAAATTACGGGTTTGGCCCCCGAAATGTTCGAAAAGGGGGGAGTTTCCGATTCCGCAGGGCGCTTGGCGCGGAGATTTACCAGCGGTGTCATTAGCTGAAGATACAAAAAGTTGTACAATGGGGTAACTTATGTTCCTCAGACAATCTCACCGGTTTCTTAATCGGTTCCTTTGGTTTGGGAAGCTGCGCCTTTTTAACTGCGAGCTGTGTTTGCAGCATTTTGATGCCCGATGACCATCCATCTATTTGACTAGCTCGAGCTTTGTCTATATCGTCGTACAGATCCATATTTTTATAATTTTCCACCTAAAAGTCAATTAGTTGATATGTATAAGTTAAAGCCAAGCCTGTTTAAAAGTGGAATCAGAATCGAAATCCTGCCAGCATTCGTATCGGTGTGTTCCTGAAGGCAGACACTTTGCTATAGTGTGCGCAAATGCGTTATTAACAAAGAAAATTTTTCGAGATTCAACTGATTTTCTGAGTTTGACCGCGGCCGAGAAAATTAAAACATAAACATGCTCCACACACACAATAAATGTAACTAAACGGTCTTAAATATGCTGACGAATTATTTAAGTTCGATCACACATATTCCTCGTTTTTGATATCCGGTTTAATATTACTAGATAGATAAAATCAATTTCCTACTTGACTGGCTTGTTTGAAATACTTGATTTGTTTTCCTTGCTTTAATTGTTTTATTTTGGTGCCTCAACATATAGCCGAACTTAGCCCACTTAAGCCCCCTCTATTAAAATAGTTTTAACTACTTGAGGTAAAAGGTGGAAAATATTAACGATTGTAAATTCTTCTTGTAGATTCATGCCATCTTTATGAGATATCTTTCACCTGAACTGCTCTAAAATGATTAAATTTGCATTATTTTCGGTGGAATATTGAAATACCCGCTTCGCTTATAATAGGTTAATCGTTCTCCGTCAAGGATATTGCTCAATTTTGATCTTCCTCCGAATAATACTGGCTATATAGAACATTTAGCCACGCGCACATAGTTTTATCCGATTAATGAATCAATTTTCTACTTGACTGGCTCATTTTAAATACTTGATTTTTTTCCTGCTACGGCGATTGCTTTAATTGTTTTAGTTTGGTGCCTCAACAACAGTATATCGGTAAGAAATCAAACTTAGCCCACTTAAGCCCCATTTATTTAAACAGGATAACACTAGAGCTAAACCGCGGAAAATATTACTATTAACAATAGTTCTTCTTTTAGATCCACCCTATGTTTTATCTTTGCTAAAATAAAAGACCACGAGATCTTTCACCTGAACTGCGATTAAATTCTTCAAAATTCACAATTGTCGTAGAGTGTATTTTAATATTCACTGGCCGACAATAGTCTAATCGTTCTCTGTCCATGATCGGAAATCAAATTCCTCTGTTTATATATTCTCTTGCTACCTTAGTGAAATTGCTGTAAAAGGTGACGTTTGTTTCAACACCATATTTTCTTGATTTTTTCTATATTTTTATTTGGTTAGCTGTTAATAAGTTCAAAACAAATAGCCAGAAAAAAATGTCAAAAATCAATTTTTTAAATAAATAAAAAAAAAATTATATTTTTGTCAAAGAAAATGGGTACATCAGCCATATATATTTTGTATGGAAAAACAGTTCCAAGGAAAAAGTTTTAAGAATAATTAACTCTATTAATAATTAATAAAGTTTTGGTAGAGATAATACCTCAAAATTGTCCCATTCATGATTTAAGTCCTTCAAGGTATCGTACTGCCTTGTAAAGGCATAAACTTTTGCTGCAAGGAAGCTCCACTTATACTCAATTAGATTTAAGTCCAGACTCATTGCTGCCCACTTGATCAGCGGTTTATTGTGTGTTTCAAAATAACCCATTGCTAAAATTTCCATTGATCACAACTTGCTACAAGCACTAACCATACAGTATATACTGTATATATATTGTTGCTCGTTATGACGATATTTATGATCTATGAGAAGACGATTTATGAGATCTGAATCCGTCTGAATTCAAGTCCAAGAAATTGTGTTTTTCAAAAAGGCCATGCGCGCATCTTTAAGACTTTTAGCGGGGTTTGCCAACTTTGTTTTGATACGTGAGGTTACAATTTTCGTGCAAACACTTTGCCTGGGGATTGTGCAAGTGCCGTCTTGTCGACGATTTATGCGGTAACCGTGTGGATCTATTCAAAATTTTGAAAAGGTATTTAGAAATCGATTCATTCGCGAAGCTTTTCGACCAGTTATCATGCCGGCTAATTTCATTCTCTTGTTCTCCCTCAAAAAATTGTGTGCAATATAGAATTGTAAACTAAAAATTCCTTTTTTTTAATTCTTTTTGGTTTGATGCAATTATGAGTCGATCCGCTTATCACTTTTACTGCTAACACTGCGCTTCTCAAAACATTAAAAACATGATTGCACATACATATGTATATGAATGTAGCGGTTTTTTATGTCGGGAAACGTTTTGAAACGTCTGCAGAGTATGTGGAAAAAGGTATGTTTCCAATTAGTTTCCATGCGAACAGCTGAGTTGGGAAAAAAGAAGTAGCTCTAGGCTCCAACAACAATGGGCAATGAAGGAAGCAAGTTAAAAGGCTTAATTATTGACAAAAATGCGGTTGAGGTCAACGACTTCTGGGCCCTATATAATGCAGAATCCCCAACGACGTCCAACGAAGAGGGCGGCGGCGCTCAACTTCTGTCCATATTTCAAGGTGAAATTCTAGTGAAGGGGCAACTATGGAGTCCAGTGGGCCCTATGGAGAGAGCCATAAAGGTATGAATGAGAAAAGTAAATCCTTCCCGAATGTATATAATTAAGCAAGCTTTTTTTAGAACCTCATGATCTATCGACATCCGTACATATTAAAATATGTGACCACATGGGAACAGTCGGGACAAAAGCATCTTGCCACGGAGAGAGTCAGGCCACTTAACGACGTGCTAGCTAAACAGAGCGACATACAAGTGTGCCTGGGTCTACGAACTATACTGTGCAGCCTAATATTTTTGATTGAAAAGGCACTGGCAAGACATTTGAATATATGCACACATTCCGTTTATGTGACAGACAGTGGGAGCTGGCGTCTGGCTGGCTTCGAGTACGTTTGGAAGGCTAAAGAGGTTAACAAACAATTGCTCGATCTTGCAAGTACTTTTATGGATCCAAAAAACCTCGGGGAAGATTTTGAGCAGTTCGCTTTTGCTTCCCTATGCGAGAGTGTCCTGGAAAAATGTAGACCTGCTGCCGGCGACGCTGGTACTCCGCATGTGCCCGATTTTCGCGAGTATTGCAGCACCCACTTAAAACACAAAAACACGGAGCTAAGACCCAAGCTTTCAGCCGTCTTACTGCATCCGTACTTCAATCATGAGTTTGTACTAATACATTCCTTTCTCTTTGAGTTGCCGTTGAAGTCGATCCAAGAGCGCCAGCAATTTTTTAGCACTTTAATTGATCGTTTGCGTTGCTTTGATGAGCAAATGGTGGCCTCTCAGCTTGCCAGCGATTTGCTCTCCAGGATGGTTCTACTCGATCCCACCGCCCAACTGTGTGTGCAACCGTACGTGCTGCGGACAAAGGCCACAGACGGCGCAGGCGCAACGGTATCTCTGTTTTCTCCACAGACTTACGTACAGTATCTTCTTCCACATATACTCAAGATGTTCCGCCTCCGAGATGCACAAATCCGTTTGATACTATTGGACTATTTTATGGAGTACGTTCGTCTCTTGGACGATGAGCAGCTACAGAGTGAGATTCTCCCGCATTTGCAGCTCGGAATGAGCGACACCAATGACGTGCTAGTGGCCAAAACATTAAGGTCCATGGCTGATTTGGTGCCTATTTTAGGGGCAAATAAAGTTCTAGGTGGAGACCGTCGCCGCTGTTTTTCCGATGGTCGCCCGCATGCAGCTGTATCCACAGACAGCCAGCATCTGTTGACAGAGCCGCGTTCCATAACTCCTTTAATGAATGGCAATTCCATAGATGCAGAAGACGACGAATTCATGGTTTCCGGCAGCCCCCTGCCAACGGAAAACAATGTAGCTCCTCTGTCGTTGCGACTTAGTCCTGATGGCGGAGAAGACGAGAAAGATCAGACGAATTTAATTGAGAAACCTCAGGAGACGGACCGCAGCAGCGACCCTGAAATCAATTCCAATAGTTCCACCGCTGCCCACGACAACACACTGATCAATGCGGATGAGGAGGAGGTCTGGTCCGACTGGGACACTACAGATGAGCTGCAGCGCCTGCATGTTAAGCAAGCCGGATTGGAGGAACAGTTGCCCACTGGCGAGTTGGCTTTGAATATTTTGGAGACCAACAGTAGTGCCTCTACGCAGGCGACGCAAGCCTCTTCGAGCGACTCCTACCGTACCGCCTGCTCCAACCTATCAATATCAACCACCAAGCTAGCGGCGCAACCAAGTCGCATGCTCATCGATGATCTGAATGCCCTCGATATACAAGTGCAGTTGGCTACGCCGCCGGGTAGATCAGAGTTGACAGAGTTTGATTTTTTCAAGGACATGGAGCCGGTCATAGAATGCAGAGCAACTAGTAGCAGTGCCCCGACAGAGGTGATTCATGTGGACGCCAGTCGCTTTGCGGCAGCCACAGTGACCCCCAATGGTGACGATCTGGGCGATGAGGCGAATCAGGGTTGGGGTCACGACGATCAGGATGAAGATGATGTTGTATGGGGCACGAACTAGAACACTAGAACAAGAGGTCTGCAGGTTGAAATTCTGTAAACTGTACAATAAAGTCCATGCCATGTAATTGAATGTCATGTATATTTTGATGCATTTTCATTAATCTTTAAAATGTTTTCATTTTTTTTTCGTGTTGTTGTTCTGCATGCGTTTAAAACTATTTTTGTAAAATTGTTAAATATTTTCTCATACATTGCTAGCAAAAATGCTATATTTACGCAAAAACATTCTAAAATGCGGTTATTTTCCCTTTTCTTTATCCATTAAATTAATCATTTGACTATTAATATTAACATGTAAACACTCCATCAGAACAAAATCTAAAAACAAGCGTCTAAAATGAATTAACGGAACAAGTTCTAGCTTTTACTTCGGTGCCATGCCATTTGGAGGAGATCTCGGATCCAACGAGGAGGTCGAAAGCAAACACTCTAAACACATCTTAAAGCAAAGGCTAGAACCATTCCAACGTAGAAAAATCAAAAGAACAGAACGCCGAATAAGTTCAACTATTTACTCACGCTTTTATTTTGTTTTTGTTTTTGTTCTTATATTTAAAAAAGTTTCATTTATGCATTAATTTGTTGTTTTGTTTCCTAGCCTTTCGGCACATCATGCAACTTAATCAATGATCTTAGTAATCGTAATTACATTAATAAATTTAAATAAGATCAGCTGAAATTTGTTTGTTTTTCTTTCGCGTCTTATTCTAAACGCGAAAAAACGCATAAAAATCGGTGCGCTAAATGTTTTTGATGTTTCTTTTTTTTTGTGTTTTTGTTTTTTATCATTAAAAGTGTACTGCATTCGGATGCGACTTTTATACATTATGCGAATTAGGAGTTGAGAGGGAATCACGTAACTATTTGCAATGCTATTTGCTTGAATGGATTAAAGGAACGCTAAGCGACATGGATCTGATCTGGG